TTAGTAACTTGTGCATATTTTCCCCATACTACTTTACCGGTCTGTGTTACCAGACCTAGCTCGCTAATGTTTACTTCTATTACAGTACCTTTAGTTATAACACCTAAATTTGTATACATTGGAGAATTAGGATTCTTTTTTACTCCAATAATTGGTAGACAGAATGTGGCTTTTAGTTCAGGGTGAGTTACATGAGCCTTATTGAAACGCAGAGCCATTGGCCTAATAAACCTTTCAAACTTAGGAGGTTTACGAGTAAATCCTTCTCCAACGTAACATACTTTTGTCACCATTCTCTTCCATCCTTTTCTCTTGGATTTGCCTGTTCTGAAGACCTTGAAGACCTCATTATCTGATTGAGCTCGTACCTTGGGAATAGGTACATCCCATTTGCCAGCCTTTTCTTTACGTTTCTGTTTGATCATGTTGGAAAGTACTTTGGCACTTGATTGAACATCTCTGTCAAGTAAATAAACTGGTAATGCACCTTCTTTGGGTTTTTCTTCCTTCTTTTTCTGTAATTTTTCTTCATGTTCCTTGATTTTCTTCTTCATTTGAATCTTTTCATTACGACGTTCCTTGTTATAAAGCTTAGCTTTAAGACCACGAAGACGTTTTGCCTTATCAGAACGTAAATGGGGCTCACGAGCTTCCTTCTTACGCATACGTTGTTCATAATCCATACGGCGACCGTATAATTTACGGTGCCGCTCCATGTACTCATTTTGTGGCATGATTTATTTTTCTGAAAATAAAATATAATTTAGGTATATCACTATAKTCTTAATTAAAAAGAATACAAACAGCACAAGTTAAAGTTCAAAATATAAGATAAAGGCGCTTAAAACAAATTGGAGAAAATATATTTAATTGTGCAAAAATTAGTCAATAATAATTTAAAAACATCATAATATACTACATTATTATATTAATTTTCCATGAATAATAAACTTGTGGTAGTTTAAACCTTGAAATTGATTTCAAGACCAAACCAACACTAGGATTAACTRTTAGGTTTCCAAGTTGTACTTATTTAGCTGGTAGTAGTCATATAATGTATGAAGAAGTAAAACCTAATAAGTAAACAGTTTACACATGTATGTCTTGATAGTTAATACAACAACCTATATCCTACAGGTTACAAGAGTGCAACTAGTACAAGACAAGACTGTCGTCTGTCAAAACTGAAAGCTATATTCAGTATATACTATATTATTCTTAAAAGTATGAAGTACACTTGTTATCAATTAAGACTTATAAACTTAAAAACAATATATAAATGTTATCATTAAATAATAAACGTCGTAGACGTTAGTCGATCACTATATTCAATAATAATAATAGTTTAAAAGACTTACTGTTGCGTTACTGTATATTGAAAGTTAAAAAAATGTATAAAATTCAAATTGTTTCAGGAATAGATTATGTTTTGTTCCTGAAAACAGTGAAAAAGTATTTACTAATATTTTGTTGTTCTTATAAATTCACAATGTTTCAAAAGTGAAAAGGATTAACCTCAAACAATGCCGTGTGGCAGTGAGATTGCGCTCGACAACTTACAACATCCTTGGATAGTGATAATATTATTCATACCATATATATATTATTCATACCATACCTATTCTGTGATACCACCTATACCACCAAATCGTGACCACCATAGAACAGTTTACCAGAAAGACTGATAAAACCAATTTCCGATTGGTAGGTAATTCGTATTTTCGTGAGATCATTATTCATTATAATATATAATCTATAATAATTGTCGTCGTCGTCGAGTAAATATGTTTTCCGAGTTGTGTTTGATTATTATAAAAGCAATTAAAAATATACGTTCGTCATAACACCGGCTGTTCAAGTACACAGTCCACGCTATCACGTCTCTCATTAATTGGTGAGTGGACTTTGAAAGGATTCTTATATCAATGACTTAGTTGACATATTGTGGCGGTTGTCCCCGAAGAACTAAATTATTAAGGTTCGATATGTTTATAATATCACTATCCAACACCTCCAATTTTTCAATTATGATTTATTCTACTTTTTATAATATGGATAGTAGGTAATCTAGATTTATTGTCGTGAAAAACCTTTCATCAATCAATTGGAACAAACTTCTTATTCATGTTGTGCTAATAATATATTATTGATAGTAGTTGATATTAAAAATTAATATTTACTTATTGTCTTCTTGTTCTTACAGTACTGGTGATGATTTGTACACTCAACTATGGAAGAACCGTATGAAAAAGAATTGTATAACATATTCAAAAGTTTTGATAGTGATGAAAATGATGAATTGGATCATAAGGGGGTAAATGCTCTTTGTGAAGCATTACAGTTGGATTTTAGCCAACGTAAACAATTATGGTCATTCTTGGATCAGAACTCTAATGTTTCATTTGAACAATTCCGTGATGCTCTTGTTTATTTGGCCAATAATGGCTMAAAAGATGAAACTTATTCTAGAGAAATCTCTCCCGGTAAGAACATATTTTTATTATATTTTTTACATGCAAATGAACACTAAATTAATTTTCTACTACAATATGTTGTGTGTATTTTCTGTGAAATTGTAATCAAATATTGTTTTTTTTCTAAGTCTTCAGGTATGTTTGACCTTGTTTTCTACATTCCTTTCACTTTACTGATCTATTATTATATATACTTTATACAGATAAGCCTATTATATTTTATTATTATCAAACATTTTTATTGCCATGTATTTACTATGTGCGGATAATGGAATATCAATAGGTGTAGTAATTAACAATTAATGCAACTAGGTACTGTCCTACTATCTAGTATCTACCTATCCATATTTTATATCTAATTAGTAATTACAACAATATTTTTTTGGTAATAACCTAATCACATTTTAAAAATAACATATCATTTAAATTAACAATAAAGTATATTTATATATATCAATTAATTTTATAAAAGTTGTTAGATTATTTTAAGATAAAAAAATTTTTTCATAACTTTCTATTTAAATATGGTTGTTAGTTAGATATTTTATTTTATTTATTTATTTTTTTTAATTATCCCACAGCAACTAAGGCTATTGGGAAGGGGGTAGTACTGTAGGTTGTTATGGAACTGTAGGTTGGTTTTACACGTGGGTGAGAGTTTTGGCAGAATTTCTATTGGGGCACCCGTAGGTTTCTGCCATTCCCCAGATTGTGGGAATGGGGGATGGCGGCACTTGTTCTCCGGACACCGTGATTTGCCCGGAGAAAAATGCCGACTGATGGTCGAGAATTGAACCCGGTCCGGCTGAGCCACAGCCGACGCGGTAGACCACTCGGCCACCTCGTCCCCCTTATACTTTATTGTATCAGTTTTAAAAAATGTGCTTGTACTCAGTTAAATTATAGTAAATAGGACATAGGTAGGTACTTGATGGATAATATAAATATTAATAAGTATGATGCATTATTTTTATTTAATGTTTATAATCCATAATTGTATAACAGGTACTTATCTAAGTTATTAATTCTCAAATTAATAAATATAAATTGTATTGGGTATATTATTAGGTAATTCATTTTTACCTACATACTTGGTCTTAGGGAGGAGATTTTTTGGGGGTTGATCAATTTTTATAGTGGTGGTTTACCTAGGTTCTTCCATAAGTTTAACATGTGAAGAAAAAAAATGTTAAAAATAGCAATGAATTTTCTTTTTATATTTAAAAAATACAATTTAAGACTTTTATAGACCATTAAATACTGAGTTATTAACCTATGAAATCACTTAAGTGTTAACTATATATTTTTTTATATCAAATCATTTGCATTTATATTTAAAGTGTCATGTATAATACTTGTAAAACAAATTATCTAATATTAGTACATATAAGTAATATTTGAACATGTTTATTGGATCTATTAAGTATTAATATAGATAGATTTCATGTTGGAAATGTTTAGTGGACATTAAAATAAATATACATATTAGTTATTCTTGCATCTCCTAATTTAATTTTTCATAATTAATAAACTATTTGTAATACATTTATATGTATAAATAATTCCTGTATAATATGACTTTCATTATTTTTGAGGAGTGATATTACCTACCATATTATATTGTTGCAAATAAGGGAAAAATGTATTTTAATTTTTAATTTAAGTATCACAAAAATATGAACATTTTTAAAAATGCAAAATATTTGTATAGTTGGTCATTGTGGTTTGAAATTACCTAAATCTTGCTTCTATTGATTTAAATACCTATTTATGTATTTTTTTTTTTTGATAAATGATAACAATATCATAATAAACATGTATTACTATATGAAAAAATAATAAATAGTATAAAGATCAATATTAAAAACCATTTATCATAAATTATGTTTATAGCATAACAATAGTGAAAGGTTTTTCAATTCCAATCTGATTGTGAAGGACATTAACATAGCTTAGGTCGACCTTATTATATAAATCATAATCACATTTATATTTCATTTTAAATKACATTTTAATTGCTTAGTAATTTCTCATGTTTCAGTAAGAGAAATATCTCCGAAATATGTCTTTGGCGAAAAAAAATATGGACGCCGAACAAAGCCTCGAGAAGATAGTTTTATATTAAACCAAACAGATATAACTCACGATTTAAACAGCAGCATACCATCATCTCCTCAAAAACTAGAATATGTTCATGTTAGTTAAATGCTTACTTTATAAGTATATAGGTACATAATAATTTATCTATTTACAGATAAATTCAGAGTTGAAATTGGACGATGAAACAAAAAATAAAGGCATGTTATCACAATGTGATGACAAACATGGTAAGTAGTAGTCCTTAATAAAACAACTTTCACTTAGATAGTAGTTATATTAATTTCACTAAAAAAATTATTTATTATTAGATTTGTTAAAAGAACGATTGATAATGGACAAACATAATCTAAGTTTGGCCTGTGAACACATGGGTATTACTTCTAGTGGACTTATAACAAAAACTCAATTATTTGATGTAATCCAACATTTTGACTGCAATGAAAAATTATTTGAGAAGATAAATGATAAATATTCTAATGACAGAATACCAATTAAAGAAGTTCTTGAATTAATCAGTAGTTTTGATTACCGGTCTATCTCGCCTAATTCTGAAACATCAACATCAGGAGTCTCTTCTACATCATATTATCACAGAGAAGATAATTTACCAAATTCAATGTAAGTTAGTTCATAATCTTAATAAATTCAAAAGAATCGATTTTGATATAGCGTATGATTTTGATTAGGATGGTGAGTGTCAGCACTATTATTGAATTATGGGAAAGCTGTGGTATACCAGAGTCTCTTAACTTGTTTCAAGAACTAGGAATTGATATATCTCAGGATTCTGTTTATATACCTGATCTAGTGTCTACTATCAGCAATCAACTCCATAAAGTACAAAATAATTTTGTTGATTCTTCATTAACAGAGAATGATTCAATTAATACACCATTTGTATTGCTAAAAGCATTAAGTTCGTTGAATGAATATCAAGTTAAATGGCTCAAGTAAGTACATAATTACAAATAAAACTATTTATTATGCTATTTAACAATTTTTTTCAGAATGATAATTGAGCAAATGAATTGTGAAAGAGATAAATTAAAGTATGATGTTGATACTGCCAACAATAGAGCAGTAATGCTTGCACAAGAAGTTGATGAAAATCATATGAGATTAGAAAAATCTTCGGCAAACAAAATTGCGTAAGAGTGTAATTTTAATTTTAAAGTCATTATATTAACTATAATAAAAAATTCTAATTGAAAGGTCTAATATTATTTAGTGCTCTAGAACATAAACATCACGAAGAACGAAAAACACTCATTGATCAATGGGGTTCAGAAAAAGATCAATTACTTAACCAAAACATTTTGCTAAATGATAAATTACAACAAGTACAAAATTATGAAAACGAATTAGAGTCTGAACTTCTAAACAAAAAAAAAGTGTGTTCTGTATTTCTAATTTGTTATTTTATGTAGCATTAATTGATATATATATAACTTTTTTAGCAACTGAGCTTATTAGAAAGTGAAAATACCACATTAAATGAACAATTAGCTGATTTAAAACAAAAAAATGTTTCATTAGAAGTTCAAGTTCAAGAAATCCCACAGTTAAAACTTAAGGTAATGTGTCATTTTTAGTTTTAATATATGAAAACATAGCGACACATAATTCAAATAAATTTAGAGTATTAAGTTAAACTAATATTTATCAAAATTATACTATCAATAAATTTTAAGAGAATTAAAAAAAAAATTGACTAGATTTTAAGTTAATCCTTCAATATATTTGATTGAACTATAGGAACTAGAACTGGAATCTAATAATGAACAAATTATTGATCTCATGCAAAAAATTGATTGTTTGAAAAATGAAAATAAATGTCTTAGAGACCAAAATGATGAACTTGTTATTGAGCTTGAAGCTACTAAAATGTATGTTTTGTAATACTATTAATATTTAGGAGTTATAAAATGTAGCATTTATTTATATAAGTCTTGTGGTTTTTTTAGGATAGAAAATGTAGGTAATGATAGGTCATTTGACAGTAATGTCAGGAATTTCTTGGCTGAAGAAAATAGTCCTAACTGCTTTGGCAAAGTGAAAGAATTTTCAACCGAATTATCTGTTGAGGAAGGCGGTAGTGATTGTACAAATACATTCGAAACATATACAATTGAATCTGAATGTGATACATGGAATAAAGTAAGTGAATAATTTAATTCTCCATGYATTTTTTGATTGATAAATTATTTTGATTTTGTTTGACAGGTTGAAAATTCTCAAAAATCACACCACAGATCCCCTCAGACATCATTAACGCTTGTTAATAATATAAAAACATCTCTAGCCTCACAATCTCGAATTGAATCATGTCATTTAGATGAATTAATTGAGTATTTAGAACATATGAAACAATCACCAGAATCAGACCAATCTCAACATGGYGAAGAAAATCAGGCAATAGAAGAATCAATGCAAGAATCTCCTGATAGTTTTATGTCTTCTTCACCTTTAAATAAATATCAAACCAGAAGGTCATTGAATAAGCAATTTGAAAATTCAATGGAAACGGAATTTATTRGATCTACTTTAATAGAAGTGTCAAATGGTAGTGTTGAAAAATTAAAACTCATGTACAATCAGTGTAAATCAGAAAATCAGGAGCTACGTGAAAAGTGCGAAAAGATTGAAAAGTACTGGGAATCAAGGTATAATCAACTATGTGAAGTAGCAGACAATGCACTGGAAGAAGCTAAACGGTTGAAAGATGAAAGTACTGAATTGGAACGTGGTATGGATGCACTACGCAATGAATACTTTGAGTGTGAAGAATATTGGTCTTTAAAATTAGAAGAAGAACGTAAACTAAATGAATTGGTTAGTATTTCTTGATTTGAATTGTGTCAACTGTCACAAATATATTTGTTTGTAAATTCATTATTAATCTGTGTTTATGGGT